TGTTTATAAATGTTAGTTTGCCCAATTTCTGACAATTCTGTTGTAAAGACATCCCTATGTTTGTCTAAGAATTTCCTTAATTTTTTTTCTCCTCTTCTGTCAAATCAGCAGATGATAAATCAAAATCTATTTTACTCTTTTTCTTTTTCAAGTTTGACTTTTCTTCTTCATTAATAAATTTGTTTTCATCTATTGTTTGATTTTCTGAATCTGATAAAGTTTGTAATGTACTAACATCAACATGTGATACCATGGCAACAACTGTGTTAACAGGTAGAGTAATGGTATAGTTATTTGGATTAATAACTTGCATTCGAACACGTGTATTTGTGGACCTAGTAGCCTGAACTAAACAACAAGCACCCATAAGTTGATATTTCTCTAAATAATCATGAGGTTCTAATAAGACTGGTTTATTCAAATAATGTTTTGGAATAATGACAGGTATTTCACACATATTTAAACCAGGTACATTAACTGTTTTAAAATTTCTAGCAGTATTAACTTGTTTTGTACTGATTAAGGCTACTTGAATTGTGCCTTCGTGTAAATATAAAGTCCTAGTAGGGTAATGGATGTTTGCCTTATTAGCTAACAAAAAGTCATCTCCTAATATTAAGGGATGTTGCATGTCATCTATTATTAGAAATGAATAATCAATAACAAGCCCCTTAATGGAATAATAACTCTACCCCTAGCTTTATGCCTTTCTCCACCTACTCCATAAATGTTTGGAATATCTGACTCTATAATTGTAATTTTCTGTTTAAATTGTTCAACTAAACTATATGATATACAAGATACTCCTGCTCCTGTGTCTACAAGTCCTACAGTTAAATGATCAAAAATTTTAACACTAATTTTATTCTTATCCATGGGGGTTATCAAATTAATGTACCCATTGTTTTTCTTGCCACTATGCCCATTCCAAGACGTCCGCCTTAAAATGGGCGTGCGTCCCTAATAACCAATTTTTTCTCCATTTATGTTGTATATGCTTCTGCACATCCTTGCAAAATGACCAATTTTCAAACATTTTGCACACTTTTTGTTACTGGCAAAGCATGATTCTTGCTTGCCTGAGCATCGTGAGTCCCCACATAATGTACAGGAAGCTTGTCTAGAATTTCTAGTGAAATTTTGCCTGTTTTTAAATTGTGGATTGCCAAATGACTTCCTGTCTGTTTGTTTTTGACCACTTGAACCCCAATTTCTGGACCAATTAGCACCTGAGTTATTTTCCCTTTAATTATTTTTTTTCCCTTAACTGTTCATTTTCAAACCCTAAATTTTTCTACCTTCTTCGATAAAGCCTTAATGGTGTCATTCAACATTTGAAAATCATTGTTTGATATTGCATTGACTTGTGAACATGGTGAATCTTCTTGACTTTTTTCTTGCAAGCACTTTTCTGCTATTATTGCAGCCGTTTTGAGTTCTTCCAATGTTTTCGGATCCCTTTGAATAATGATTGACCTTAAGGATGGCTTAAGTCCCTGTTTTGCAATTCTGAAAGGTAAATGACCTGGGATGTCTTGGTGTCTTGCCTTAATTTGTAGCCTATCGAGATACTCTACAGCTTTTACAGTAGGTAGTTGGGCAAGTAAGATGTCATCATCTTCATAAGCGTTTTTAAACCTTTCAATTAAGGCATTTTGAAGGGCATCATAATCATTTTGAATTTCGTCCGTTACACCTTCATACCAAAGTTTTGATGATCCTTCTAAATAAAATGATAAGGCATTACACGCCTGTTCGTTGCTTAAATTTTGTAATCTTTTCCACCTATTAAATTGTTTTAGCCAAATGTCTGGTTTGGTACATCCATTGTATCTGTTAGGTTGTACGTGTACTGATGATGAGTTTACCTGATTGTTAACTTCTGCTGGGTTATTTATGGCTTGTTGATCTTCTTGATGGATTTCTATAGGAACTTCTTGGTGTATGGTTTCTTATCGGATTGGTTCCAATGTTGTATTAATGAACTCTGTTGACCCTGCTGATCTTAATAGGTAATTCGTCGGTCTGTTTAGTGGCATTTAGTTTCTTGAGGTACCGGAATTTATCCTCTCGCCTCCACCATCAATCTGTTATGCTGATTGGGGGGATGTTTTTCAGCTTTCTAAAATAAACAGAAGTTCTTTTTAAAATAAGTCTTTATTTTTGTTACTCCAAAGATCGAATGACTATATACATACAATTTATAAAACAATAATCAATCATAATAATATGCCAATCATATAATATTGCAGTCTCACACAAATTAGACATTTAAATAAAATAACTATTCAGGGGGACTAACTCTGTATTTCTAATAATCTATTCAAATAGGGGGGGGGGGCATCTAGCTCAAAGGTTTTATTTGCTAATATATTAACTTCATGCTCATTTAAATAATATTCATAAAAATATATAATGCTATTTTAATAAAATCTCAAGTCTAGAACAAATTAATTACTCTCCACATTATATTCATTAAAAGAAAGTTTAGCTTATCTTTCCTTAAATGGTTTAACTTCAAATTAATTCTATAAAACAACAATTAAAGTATATTGTGTGTGAGACCTGCTAAAATGAAATACATACATATTCATCAGTACAAAAACCTTTCTTGTTAAATATAATTTTTACGATTAATATTCTACTTTAAAAGATACAAACGAAATACCTCTTTTCCATAGTTTCCCACACCTCTGTTGTCACTGTTAAGAAAACTTATTAAGTACAACAATAAATATTTAAGCCTAAAAACTTTGTTTCCAAATACTAAAGACGGCATGTTCTAAATTTAGTAAATATGAGTTCTCTCCCTTGAATGATACAATCTAAATATAAACCTATAACCTAAGTAACATTCCGGTATCAATGAATTCCTTTAATTTAAAGTATATTGTTCTTCAACTTTAACCTTTAAATAAGACTTAATAAATACTTCAATTCTTAGATATATATTTTATATAAGTTAACAATATAAAATTAATTCAGATTTTCTTCATAAATCAATTTGGCATCATATATATATTAGATCTTTAACATTCAATTTGCATTTACTTATTTTGCAATTTAATTTAAACAAATGTTACTTCCTTATATTAAGTAAAATATTACTTATAACAAAATTATAAAATCAATATCAACTCACCTAAAATAAACAGAAGTTCTTTTTAAAATAAGTCTTTATTTTTGTAACTCCAAAGATCGAATGACGCTAAACCTTTACTTTGGTTATTTCAAATTTTTAGTCACATGATCTTTGGAATTACGAACTTCTGCTATTTTCTCCAATCAACTTCTTAATTGAAATTTAGTGACCTCCCTTATTAATTTTTTATTGGTCAATAACTGGACACTGACCCGATTTCTATCTGTCTTTCATTTCTCAATTATCTTAAGTGTCACCCTTAAAACGGATTATCTCGCTTATTACATGAAGACAAAGAATGAGAACATTTTCTTTGTTCGCTAGGATTAGCGTATCTACACAAGATTTATTTGATTTATCTTATACAAAGATTTAATTTCCTAAGTGTCTAGCAAGCTATTCTTTTCCTATTTTCTAGTTAAAAACTATAATTTGTGCTAAAAGTTTACGTAATACTATTTACAAATCGCTTTGTCTACTATCTAACAAATCCAAACTTATTTACATGTCTTCTTATTTTATCTAACAACTAGCTTTTTGTGAAATACTATTTACACGTTCTTTTCTTCTCTTAAATCCGACTTTATTTTCTATCTTTAACATAGTTTCTTATTTTACTTATTTAAGTATTCAATGTAATTATTGCATTCTTTAATATTTCTTTTTTTATAACTAAAATGCAGAAATATAAACTATTAAACTTCTTTTTATATTAAAAGATATTTAAGGTGTTTTTAATGTCACAATATATATATATATCCTATACTCTTTAAAATTCCAGAGTCTATCCTAAATTGAGGTAAATTATATGGCCTTCCAAATACCGTTTCGATCCCTAACATCACTGAAGAGACATTAATTGTCAAAATCTGGATATGGTGTACAAATTTTTGCACCTCATGTTTGCGGTATACCATCTTCTCCGCAAGTTTATTGTTTTCTGTTTGGTATTTAATTAAATATAAGATCCATGTTACATCTGGTGATCAATTTATTTGGCAATCGTCAATGGCAGTCAGCAGGGTTTAATAACATCAGTTGTTCGACCTGTTAGTCAAATGTGTTTTGTTAAAATATACTTTTCACTTTTTTTATCTTTTGGAAAATGTTGTTTGTGCTGTAGTTAGACCCCTCTACCAAGAAATTTGTTTTACATGCACACGTAAAAAAAATTGCGGTTTTTATCCAAATCAATCATAGGTTTGAACGTTGTTTTCAATTTAGACTTGTTTTATATATATATATATATATATATATATATATATATATATATATATATATATCTTAATTTATAATAGGTTTTTCCGTTTGAATGGTTTTACACTAGTAATTTTTTGGGACCCTTTATAGCTTGCTGTTCGGTGTGAGCCAATGCTCCGTGTTGAAGGCCGTACCTTGACCTATAATGGTTTACTTTTATAAATTGTAACTTGGATGGAGAGTTGTCTCATTGGCACTCATACCACATCTTCCTATATCTATATAAAGCAACGATTTATATATACAAAATTTTGGTTAAAGATAATTTCAGAAAACAACCATTTTGTTTAGGTTGATTAAACAGAAAGTAAGAGAAATTATCCTATCCTTGATCCCTGGGATTTCTTATGTGTTATCAAATTTAAAGGGTTCTCACTAAGGCGAGTGTGTGAGTACTGGACTTATGAAAAACTGTCTGGACTCACCATTTTCAAAAACTGGCGAGACCAAATTTAAAGAAGCATCAAGATTTAAATATTTTAATTGAACTGAACACACATATTATCATTTTTAATGTGGCAAAAGTTATCTGAATTTAAACGTCATTTCATTTCTCTATTAGATAATGGAGACTTACATGTTAAATTATATTGCAATAAAATATTATCTTCTTACTGTTGGACTGATCCCAGACTAAGTGACTTGCCTTCAAAAATCCTTAGTTAGAACCCTGTTTTAAACTGTTATGTTACATTTTCATTAAGTACATGAAGTAACTTAAAATTTTTACTTTCAGGTTTCATATTTCAAGATTTCTTGAGCCTTTATTGGTACATCATCTCTCTAAAGATAGAAATACTTCGTGTAGATAATAGCCAGGTAAATATTTTCACTTCTATTATGATTAAGTACTTAACACAGATGGATAATTATGGGTGGCTCCATAAACTATGTGTGTTAAGCTTTATGTTTCAGAGAGTAGAAATGTGGAGGCTGCATAATTTGTAAACAGATCCAATATGTTATAAAGCTTCCGTCTGTCTTATGTCCATTGTCCTTGACCTCAATTTCATGGTTCATTTACTATGAAAAGGAAGATGTGGTATGATTGCCAATGAGACAACTCTCCATAAGAGACCAAATGACACCAAAATTAACAAATATGGGTCACCATACTGCCTTCAACAATGAGCAAAGCCCATACAGCATAGTCAGCTATTACATGCCCGTAAATGACAGTGTAAAACAATTCAAATACTGTTTGAAAAAAAATACAGTTTTTTTTTTGGATTGTGAATTTCTGACTTATTATGAGTGATAGGATATCTTAATATTTTGTATATGGTTCCTTGCAATGTGTACATGTCTGACAGGGTTCACATGATGTAGAACTCATTTCATGGATCAATGAAATAGGTCAAAGTTTTATGATAAACTCTGTTTCTCGGATACTGTAAGCAGTAGGTTAACTACATGTATATTTGGTGTATGGCATGATGATGTACATGTCAGTCGGGCCGGTTTCATCTGATCTTAACCTCATTTTCCCGATTCATCGGTCAATGTTTTTTTTTTTGTGTTCAGTTTATACATTTGTACCTGTATCTGAAATAGAGACAAGTTAATTTTGATTTAGACATTTTTGAAATATGCAAAGAAAAATATCCCAACATGACAAAAAGACCTACTTTAAATGGATAAAAAGTTAATAACACAAAAGACAGGTGCCTTTTTTGTTGTTACTCATCTAAAATCCTGAAGTTGTGACTGAAATCTTTATTTATCAATATAAATACTATCATAAGTGGCTGTGGTTTTAGTACTCAAATAGATCCAAATAGGATATTATTTTAAAACAGACACAATCATTATTTATTCTGAGCATACATGTATATGGTACTAATGCTTTTCCAGCAATCTTTAAAAATGTGTTATTTATCAGTAAATAATTGTCAACCCATATAGATGTATATATATATATAGTACTGCATCATGCATTGTAAGTTATTCCATGGATTGGTCAATTGCCCAGGGAACATGGCAAAACTTTAAAAGTAGTTTCATGGATATGGATTACCTCTATACATGCTATACGACAAGACAAGGTATTGATCATGATATAGTTTAAACAAGCCTACTAAAAATAATTCTTGATTCTGAAGCTCAAATCTCATATATATCATTGTGCATATATGTCTAAAAAAAAGTTTACTTCATAAAGGAGTCATTTATATACAGACATGGTAGACAGTGTCGAATTCAGAAGGAGGGTTCCAGGGGTGGGATGGGGAGTGGGAGGTGGGGGTGGGGGGTTGGAACCCCCCTTTTTTGGGGCGATCAATCATGCATTTGAAAGGGGACAAATAGTTAGTACCCCCTTTTCTCCTGGATTGGAAACCCCGTTTTAAGAATGGCTGGATCCGCTCCTGATAGAACTGAGGTTACGAGACTAGTTTTTGTAAAAGTGCCATTTATATTTTTATTTATATTAAGTTCATTTAGCATGTTTGGTTGTTACATTATTTTTTATTCTATTTTTAAGTCTTTAGTCAAGGATTTGTATCATTTTACAAATCTTGTCCACAGTAAAATCAAATAAGAAATTTGTCAAACACATGTTATTTTCCTGAGACACATATACATGATATACATGTACATTTACAATGTACCTGAGACACTTTATCTGTAACCAGGATTTCCATGTACCATTCAGACTGGTGATTTAAATAATACCCTGTGTATTAATTAAGCAACAGGTGGTATTATGATGTACATATAGGGAAGTACCACCTTTGTTTTCCCCTATTACAGAAGAGGGTCCGAATGGTTTTTATAAATTTACAGACTAGAGAATAATGCCAATTGAAATAATAATTAGTGAAAAATAAGCTAAAATAGGGAACAATGGGGTGCAAAATTATAAAGAATAATTATGCAAGATAAAAGAAGGAGATAATATTACACTGATTTATACAGTAGTGAATCAGGTATAGAATAAACGAAATTTTTAGATTACATGAAATTGTAAAAATTCTGTAATATCATTTTCATGAGAATTTGACCAAATAGGCGTAAAGATCATGAAGCTAAAGAAAAATGGTGTTAAAATTGAAATTATTATTAGGTCAAACAACCACAATACAATGTAATATGTACATGTGCTTAGGGTTTCCACTTTTAATCTAGAAACATTGAGGCTGCAGGTAGATGTTTCTTTATTGTTAATTTTGATAGTCACCGTTGAGAAAAAAATTGTTTGATGTTGCCTACACATGCCTTACAGGGTTGGGTAGGTAGGTCAGTATTTTTTTAGGCAAACAACATAAGTGACATGTTTAAAACTTGTAAGGCCAAATAAAAAAAAATCATGTGTGGTTCCAGTTACTCTACCTACCCTACTTTTTAGTCTTAATAATACCCTACCCTAAAGATTTTTTTTTCATTTTCATTGTTAAAGTCAGAATGTTGCTCCCGTCTATAGACTAAATGTAAAAAAAAAAAAACCACCCTACCTACCTTCATCCAAACTTTATTTTTTAAGATGTTACTAGAACCACACATTCATCTTTTTTAATTTGCTTATAAAGAAAACAATCGTAAAGCATGACAATATCTTAAAAAAAAATGCTTTTCATGTTGGTTGTTAGGCATCATGAACCAATTTGAATTTTAATTTTGGCCCAATAGAGACCACCTACCATTTTACATTCATTTAACCTAAAGGGGAAATAAGGGAAACCGTATTAGGCAAATTATAATGGCTTAAAAATAAAATTAATATTAACCTTGATAACCATAACTTTATGCCAATTAACCCAATTGGCTTTGAAAATTTGATTTACAATTTCTGTTTTTGTTAATTTGCAGAATGCCAAAGTTAAGGAAAAGGAGGGATGTTCCTTCACAGAGAAAGCGTAAGAAAGTCCTATCTACTGACTTGCATATTGACCATTCATATTGTATGCCGAACGAGGAAATAGTTCAGTTATGTCTTAAAGAAGAAGTAGGAGTGTGTGGAGAAAGGATTGACCCTGACTTTACTATGTACACAGCTGAGCCTGTAGGGGACATAGAATGTACATCCTATGAAGAAGAAGTAGCTACAGTATCGTATACAGACCCATTCGATAAACTTAAGCAAGATGTTGTCCAGAGTGGTTGCATTAGTTCACCATATGTTTTACACACAACCAGTGATTCTATCAAGATAATGCTCTTATATCCGTCCGCTGAAAGAATATCTGTTAAATTGAATGTGATGATAAATAGAGATTTTTTTGCCAAAGTATTTGTCCATAGAATCCAGCTTAGCCAAGACCATGACCTATGGATTGGTTTACCAAGAGTTTTTGACAGCGTTAAACATATCCAGTCTTTACTTTTGAAATTACAGAGTTATTCTGTGTGTACAGGAAATTTCGAGGCAGATTTAATGGCTTTCATACCAGTTGGCACCTCTGTCGAAAACGCAGAAGGTTCTGCAAGTAGTCAAGGTTTTAGAGAAGGTGACTTTGAGGCAGTGAAAGGTACCATTTCTTACTCGTCCACAGTGCGAAGCATGAACTGTTTACTACTTGTGCAGGGAAACAGATGTTCACCATGTAGTCAATTAGTAAGAGTGTTGATAAGTCGAAAGCACAGAAGAGAAGAGAAAGAGAGAAAAAGTAAGAAAAATGTACCAAATTATTTGTGTAGTACTATAGGACATTCCAAGATGTCTCGACATGAATTGATCACCAAAATTCACCAGCAGAAAGATAAGATTACAACCCTGCAGAGTGAAATTGACAAAACACAACGCAAGTTTCAACGTGAGGTTAGTAGTAGAGGTGTTACATTAGACTTCTGTCAGTCACTTGAAATGCAAGATACTATGGCAGCATGTTCAACGGAAATAATGAAAGCCTTTCCTGATGCCAATTCGTATCAACGCCTTTTCTGGGCAGAACAACAAAAAAGCACTAATGTGAAGTCCTTGAAGGGTATGCGATGGCACCCAATGATATTGAGATGGTGTTTGTACTTACGTCACAAATCAATTGCAGCATACGAGGCTTTAAGAGATTCTGGTTTCATTACTCTTCTACGTTCAAGGACATTGTTCGATTATTCTCATTACACTAAAAGTGACAATGGATTTTTGCCAGATGTAGTGAAAGAATTGAAAAATGAGGCTTCAAAAAGAGACATGTACAGTAAAGTTGATCCATGGAAGAATTGTGTAGGACTTCTTTTTGATGAAATCAAAATAAAATCTGACCTGGTGTACGATAAGCATAGTGGCGAACTAATTGGATATTGCAATCTAGATAAGGTAGGAAACCAGATTATGAACTTCGAAAGAAATATGAAAGATACAAGTACTACAGAGACAGATTCAGACATTGCCAAATACATGCTTGTGTTAATGGTGAGAGATGTTGCCACAGACTTGAAATTCCCTTTAGCAGGCTTTGCTACCTTAAGTATTACTGCTGACTTTCTTTATCCGATTATTTGGAAGGCTATACGCATTTTAGAAACCAGCTTTGCTCAACTAAAAGTACTCTTTCTGACTTGTAATGGCGCATCTGCAAATAGGAAGTTCTTCAACATACATGGACAGGTGAATGAATTTATTCATTACACAAACAATCCTTATGCCGATGACGAAAGAAAACTTTATTTCATCTCAGATGTTCCCCATCTTGTGAAAACAACTAGAAACTGTTTCAGCAATTCTTATTCACACAAAAACACCAGAAAAATGTGGAAAGATGGGAAAGATATTTCGTGGATGCATCTGTTGAAATTGTTTGAAGACCATTGCGAACTATCACTCTACAGTCCATGTCCAAAATTGACAAGAATTCACCTTGACATGACAACCTATGGTTGCATGAAAGTCAACATTGCAGCACAAGTTTTGAGCTCCACAGTAGCAAATGCCCTTGAAATGATGTATGGAGATAATGTAACCGAGACAGTAAATTTCATCAGAATTATGAACAAATTTTTTGATTGTTTGAATGTTAGAAACCTATATGAAGGTAGAAATAAGAGAAATCCTGACCTTGAACCATATACAACTGTCAATGATGAAAGATTACATTGGTTGAGAGTAGACTTTATTAAGTACTTTGATTCCTGGGAACAATCGGTGATGCAAAGAGCTGGTAATTTTACAAGGAAACAACGCAAAGGAATGCTATTGAGTCATCAAACATTGACAGGTTTTAAAATCAGCGTGTTTTCAATTGTAGACTGTGTTAAATTTCTATTAGAATCTGGCGCCAAGTTTGTCCTCACACATCATTTTAACCAAGATCCCTTGGAACAACATTTTGGACACTACCGACACAGGGTTGGGGACAATAGCAAACCTACAGTGAATGATGTTCGTCATATGATGACCTCGATGAGAGCAGTTGGAGCTTAAGCTTTGGCACCCAAACAAGGAAATGTCAGTAACCAGAGAGACAGGAACTTTTTGATTGATAACACTTCTCTACCTAAGCGCAGAACATATTAATTTTATTAATGCAAGAAGTCTTTTTGTACAAGTATAATTTACATGTATGCCTGTTATATGTATTTATTTCCAAATAATGTGGTATTTTTTTTTATGCAATTCTAATTACAGTATATGAGTGTTTGGTAGTTCATAAACATTTACATGTGCAAAATGTAAACTTGAAAAGTGTACTGTACACATGGTACATGTACATACATGTACATGTATGATTGCTGGTACGCTTTATAGTATATACTAAAAATAGTCTTAGTAAACCATTGATGCTTGTGAAATAGTGAAAAGGATACTCTCAAAGATTACAATGTACCTTTTGAGACAAACATTTGTAAGGGTGCAAGTTTTAATATTTATGTTTATGGCCTAAGTAATTGATTTCACCAAAAAATTCTATATTTGAATCAAGAGTTTCACAAATCGAACAAGTCTTGAATTTGTAGTTCAGTCCATGCATTTGATAGAGTTTTCCTTGGTATGACATGTATGATGAACATTTTTACTAACACATATGTGTGTGCAAATTTGAGATATTAAACACTGTTTGTGATTATTTGTTGTGTTCCTCTAAATATTTACCGTACATGAAGGATTAGGTGTTTTTGACAAGATGCAATACTCAATACAGTCATTGACAGTTAATAGTTATCATGGTTATTTATAAACCTTTTTTGCATTTTATACTTATTTCTAATTTTTCTATGTTAACTTAAACTATACAGGAAATAATATTTCAGCCAAGAAAAAAAATAGTTTTTAGCATGCAGCTAATATTGCTTATTATATTTTTAGTTTAGTGAAATTGAAGTTAACTACTGTTTTCTCTCTCACCTGTTTCTGTCTTTAAAAATGTAATTAAGTCGTGTAGTTTTTGAGTAAACAAATATGTGAAATAAACTGTGTATATACATGTATGATAATTTTAATGTTTTTTTTATTGCGCCATAAAATATTGGTACAATTTTTTGAAAAATTATGTTGTGAATGTGTAGAAATTAAGAGATTTAGAAAATGTACAGTGTTTGTCACATGCTTGTATTATAATTTGACATTGTGTGTAAATAAAACTTTTCAGCAAGAACAAAGTTCTGTTATTACAGCTATCCAGAATAAATTTAAGTACACAAAGTTGTTTGTGTCCCTGATAGTTTAATAGGTCACAGTGTTCCATTCATGTTGGCTTCCCACATTTGGCTGTGGTCGTCATGAGAAATGATACATGATTGCCAATGAGACAAGTATCCAAGGGACAGGGATTTAAATGATATACATTGTAAAAATAAGAGTCGTATGAATGACAACATGGACAATGAGACAACTATCCACCAGATTTCAATGTTCACCAAAATTGTATTTATATTTGTGTCATTTTTCTTTGTTTTGCTCATAATGTAAAAAAGAAGATGTGGTATGATTGCCAATGACACAACTCTCCACAAGAGACCAAATGACACAGAAATTAAGGTTCAAGTACAACAATTGTTCTTATTTGTTATCTTACATTGACAGAATATTGATGGTGATCGTGGATACAAATAAATTCATTTCGTCTCTCATTTGTTGCAGACCTTATATTTTTCCTGTTTAGTGAAGGCCGTATGCTGCCCTTAATACACTAGTAGCAAGATTTAAGTCTGAAACGGTCATTTTGGTCTGATCGAGTCTTAATCGCCTTGATTTACCGCTAGGGAAAAACGTAAAGACCTGTTTAGACTTTCAGACTCTGTTACGATATATCGTGTTCAGTCAGATCAGTCGGGTCAAGATAAACAAGACAGATTCTTCTAGCGTTCAAATAAGACTTGATTAGATTACGTTCAGAAAAAATAAGACCAAAGGTAATAAATCTGTTTAGTTGCTATAAGATCGTGTTCAGTCGTGTTAAGATTTTAAATATTTTAAATAAAACGAGCGACACTTTATCTGTGTTTATCAGGGGTTACTCCCCTTTATGAATAAAATCGGCATAGCTTGGAGGATATTCTTTTGTGGTCTTTTAATGTAATACTATATATCTATTTCATTAAATAACGTATGCAAACGAACAATTCATTTTTTCCCGATAGAATTTTTAACATTTAATTGGTTATATAAGAAAAGATTAATTGTTGTACCGGGAAATGTGTTAGTCATTAAAACTTTGAAGTCGTGCTTTCTGACATTAAGTAGTCATGTATTTATTCATTCCGCCCGTAAAGATATAATGGTAAGTAATATATCCCAAAGATGTTCCTAAATTTTCTTAAACATTTTTTGTTTCTAATGTAAAATAATAATTCTGATCCATATGAAATTTGTCAAGAAAAATATATTCTAAGTATCTATTTACTTTATATTTTTAAATATTATATATAGATGACAGTTGCTTGGTGAAAGTAATTTACATTTCAATAAACGGATTATCTAAGCAGTCAACCGAAACGGGTTGTCATAAAACTATCTAAATAATTACCCATGCAACGCTTATGATGTTTTATCCATGGACGTAAAATGAATAAAGTTCCATGTTTTATCCTATATAAGGATTTACCGGGTAAAATTATTACATTGACAAATAAAAAAACATTATTTAAAAAAAAACAATGCAACAAGAATAAAGAATATTTTAAGAATTTAGTTGACAGTTTATATTAACCATTAGGTACCTACAAGGAATTGTATATTCAATTCCTTGGTACCTATAAAGACCGATTTCGATACCTCTCTTGATTTCTTTGTATCATCAAGTTTTTTTTAGCACGAACTAATACAAGAATAAATCATATTATAGAAAAATATCAAACAATAGAGCTCTGATCAAACAACATAAGTTAAGAAACGATTGATAAAATCTTGTGTACGGTTTATATTTCTGTTTCGTATCAGATTTTTTTTATAACACCAGCCGTTACTTCTGATTTAAAAAAAACAGTGAGATGCTTACTTGCTTTTAGGAATTGACCAAAAAACTATAAAATAACGTAGCGAAATGATCGTACTTATAGATTAGACCTTTGTTTTTCCATTTTGAATTGTTTTACACAAGTCATTTTGGGGACCTTTATAGCTTGCTGTTCGGTGTGAGCCAAAGCTCCGTGTTGAGGCCGTACTTTTAATCTATAATTTTTATACTTTGTGACTTCGATGGAGATGATTATTTGGCACACATACCACATCTTCTTATTTATATTAACCGGGAGCAGTTTATAATATTTTCATTTCGATAAAAAGAAATATGCAATTCAGTAAATCAAATCGATTTGTACCATATTGTTACATTCAAAAGTCTTTAACTGAAGTAAATGATTGATAGAAATACATTATTTGTATTGCATCGCTCCTAAAATAATGTCCAGTGTCAAATATTACACATCGATGATCACTTAGATGTTCAACTGATTCAACAGAAAATTAAACTTAGGACTAGGATCAAATGCAATTCATTACGTTACAATTGTATCCAATATTAATATTGCTAATAACATTCAGTCGAGGAAAAGACACATGTGACATTGATATGCATATGTTTGTTCTAGCCTGATACGGCGAGCGCGTGTCGACAAAAAAAAGGTCATGTTAACAAGAGAACAATTGTTGTGAATCAGAGCCAAATTGACCTTTGTTCCAACTTTACATTATAAATATATAAATAATGCGTGCTTGTGGACAAAAGGTCACAGACGAAAGGTTACAATTCAGTTTCTGAGACTATTTTCTTTGAAAAACTGTAAAAAGAATATATGTAATAAAAAGTATTTTTTCAAGATATTTCTCTTACATACTTAAACAATTGTCACTTCCCAGAGGAGGAACGACAGCCTAAGGTGCTGTGTACAAAATTTTTTTAGGTCACGTGGTACGATTTTAGCGTCCCTCGGCAATTTTGAATCTGGTAAAAGATCGATTTGTTCATGTTTTAATATCAAATATACTCTCTTGCACTCGCAGAAAATATAGAAAGTTTTGAAATAAAAAGATTAATCAATGATAGAAGATCACGTTATAGAAATATTTTCATTATTTTTTTTACCTTTTAAAGTAAATTTTATCAATAAAGAAATGCACTGTAATGGCGGGAATTTTTATTCGATCTCTGCGAAATCACAAGGCACAGATTTTTGTTAATTTTACAAATGTCAGAACGTGAAAATTATTCAAATTTATGCCAATTCAAGAACACTATTCGACCATTCTAAATTCTAAAACAGAACACTCATAGGGAGCCCCAGAAAAGAACAAGTGTAATGGTATGACAAACTTACCTGACAGTGAACAATGTTTAACTAGAACGAGTAACTGTAAAATTGATATGTTAACTTTAAATTGTTGTGGTGTAATTAAACGTATGCATTATCCAGAATTTATAGATATGGTTCAGAAATTTGATTTTATTTTTCTTGTTGAAACTAAAACAGATGATCTAGATAAGATAAATATTCCAGGATTTACTTTTCATCTGAAAAATAGAAAAAATATAGCAAGAGTTAAATCGGGGGGCATAGCTTTCGGCTATAAATCAAACTTGGAAAATTTTGTAAAGCCAGTTGAAAATTTCAGTAGTTTAGTATATTGGTGGAAAATTTCTTCCGATCTACTTAAAACTGACCAAGATGTCATGATAGGAAATATTTATATTCCTCCAGAAAATTCTGTATATAAGGTTCCTGATGCTTTTAATGAATTAGAACAAGAATTTCTGAAATTTTCTGTAGAGTACAAGTATATACTTTTAAATGGTGATTTCAATAGTAGAACTAGTCGAGATGTAGAATATATTGAAATTGTTCATAGTCAGCATGATATTGTTGATACTGATAATGTAGATATTTTAAACAATCTAGAATTATATGATATGTCTAAAGTTAGATGTAGTATGGATACAAGTAAAAACTCTTATGGTAACATGTTGTTAGAAATGTGTAAAAACAATAATATAATTATCCTTAATGGTAGAGTTAATGGTGACAAAGAAGGCAAATTTACTTGCCGTCAGGCCAGTGTTGTTGATTATTTTATTTGTACTTATGATTTTCTGTGTTTCGTTGTAAATATGTATGTTCAAGACTTTTCCAAGCTGTTCTCAGATGTCCACTCTCCATTAATATTATCTTTAAATTTTAAAGATGGTATTGAGGAAGATGTGCATATTGCTG